ATGTTCATATGTGAGATATGCTGTTTTATAAATTATATTGTAATAGTTAGTCGCTATACAAGGTATTCTACATAATCAGTTTCTTAAAAAAGTCAAAAGTTTTTAAATTAAAATCAATTTAAATTTAAAATTTGAAATGTAATCGTCACCGGGAATAGACCAATCAGCTTGTGTGGAATTTTTTTTGTTATACAAAACCAAGCCAACGAACAAACCGATACATAGAATGTCGAAGTGAACGCACATCTTAGTGACACTTAAAATTAACACCACCTAACCTAACATTTTTTGTTGTTTTTCTCAATTTTCGATTTATTTCTTTTTTCTTTGCTAATTGGATTAATTTTATTATTAATATGAGTTTGTCAGCTAGATATATAAAAGCTGATTCAAGTACACCCATTGTAAACCAAGATATGATTAATGCATTTTTTAACAATACTCAGTTTATAAGTGCCAAAGTTCAGCATGGTAAAACAGAAAGATTTGTAACACTTTATTTATAATTTGTTTTAATTATAGTTACAGTTTATATGAAGCAATACACCTTATAGGAATAACATATTTTAACTCATGTCAATAGAGTTCTCGTACAATAGCAGTTTTTTAAAAATAAACATTTTACCTTTACCCTTTACCTCATTTATAAGTATAATAAAAATATAGTTTTCTTATAATATATTAACGTACACTGATATCAACAAATAAAACACTAGTATTTACATGAATAAATCTATGATAATATTGCTAAATTGAAATAATAAAAACACAATATGTTTATATTTTATGAAATCATTTGGAACATTGAAAAGTAATAAAAATTGAAAAAATAGGAATCCATAAAAATGTACTCTTGAAAATACTAAAAAATCATCACTTTATTAAATATTTTATTTTTAGATCTGCCAGCAAGTATATGGAGATAATGCGAAATAATTACACATGAACATAAAGTATTTTGGATTGTTTCTACCACATTTGAAGTAAATAATAAGGTCGTTAACAAGTTAAAATTGATAATGAATTTTTAGACGAAATTTTATTATTTGTAAATAAAATGTTATTCGGGTACTTTTATTTTTCAATAATAGGTTAATAAATAAAATTTTCACTGATTTTACATTTTAATTTATATACAATTATTATAATCTCGAAATGTGATAAATTAATAAAAAAAACAAACAGTTTATTAAATTATTAGGTATTTAGTCTTACAAAATGAGTTCTTTAAAGTTAAAAATACCACTAATTCACACAGAAATGTAAAAGGTTTATGTAAGCTACACTTTCCTTCTCATAAATATTGAGGATTTTAAAAACACTGTTGGGCAATCCTAAATATAACTTCGGTTTATTTTAAGAGTTCATTGGTATTGAAGATCCTGCTCATTATTATTAAGTTCCTTTGAATCAGAAATTAAAGATGTTTCTTCTGATTCAGACAAAACTTTACTATCTTTAAAACTTTCAGGAGGTTTCGAGGCAGGTTCTTGCTGAAGGGGTTTTAGGATATACACCTTCAAACTTAGAATAGGCTCATTTTAAATTAACCGAAGTGGGCAATGTCAAAAATTGCTGCTGCATCTTAAAGATCCGGTGTATTTTTATTAAATAGAGATGAAAAACGCCTAATAGAAGGTTATTTTCCAGTTAACATTTTTTTATGTGTTCTGCTTCTTTTATTGGTAAAATCACTGAGCTGGCCCTTGTGTGGTGAATAACAAGAACTGTGGAGACATATGTAAAGGTTTATCCACCATTTAAAAAATGAACAGTTTTTAAAATCATCTGGTATCTAAAAAAAAAAATAAAATTCATCATTACTACAATGGTAGATAATTGAAGTCTAATAAATTACAATAAAACATTTTCATTTTAATAAAGAGTATAGATACAAACCTTAAAATAATTTAGCTGATTACATTGTAGTTTATCATTTAATTTACCAGTTATAATTTTTTAATCTAAATCCTGAAAGTGCCAAACAAATAGTAAAAAAGAGTGCTAAGTCCTTGGACATAATTTTAAATGCCCTGTATTGCATTCAGGTATGGCGGTACCAGTTTAATTTTGACAAAAATGTGACTTAGCTACTTTTTTCCTGGACCCTTCATTTGCTTTATAAGTTTATTAATATTTATTTTTTGTTCCACCTTTTCAACCGCTGTGGACAATGAAGCAATTTGACTTTCCAGCTAGTTAATATGCTACATTTAGTTATTTTATTTGTATTTTTGTTTTGTTTTAATAAATTAATTTTGTTGGTCATGCTTTTTAATTTTTTGTGTTAATAAAATATTTAAACTTGTAGTTAAGTTAGGATTGGTTTATACTACTGATTTTTTGCTTCATTGTAACAAATAAAATTTTATTGCTACAATATCATAAAAACGGACTATTTGGACGAAAGTAGCGCCATCTCATGGTCCACTTTAGTTAACACAAAACGCGGGAACATTCAAAATTGTAATTCAATATTTAGTTTAAAAGTGGTAGTCAAATTAAGATTTGTTTATACTAACTCCTTTTTTACGTTTATTGTAGCAATAAAATTATATTTGTTACAATAAAGCAAAAAATAAGTAGTATGAACCAATCCTAACTTGACTACAAGTTGAAATATTTTATTATTTATTAGTACAAAAAAATTCAAAAGCAAGATCAACAAAATTAATTTATCAAAACAAAAAACATACGAATAGAATAATTAAATGTAGCGTGTTAATTAGCTGGAAAGTTGTCATTGTCCACAGAGGTTGAAGAGTTTTATCTAAAACAAAAAATAAATATCAATAAACTTATAAATCAAGAAGGATATAGGAAGAAAAAAGCGGCTAAGCCACATTATTATCACAATTGAACTGGTCCGCCCTATTTTGTAAAATACCAGTATGTTTCCATGTAATAAGTCAAATTTTCAAATGCAAAACAGTGCATTTAAAATTATGTCCAAGGACATCTTTTCCTACTGTTTGTTTGGCACTTTCAGTATTTAAAATAAAAAATTACAACTCTCTGGTAAATTAAGTGGTAAACTACAATATAATCAGGCAGCATATATACAAAGTAACATCTTTTTGTACTTTTTGTACTTTAAAGTATCAAAAGTTTGTATTTAGTCAGTCTAAATTTAAATATGCTTCCTTTCCATTTTGGTAATTGTGACTTGGTCCCTTTTTCCTAAACCCTTCAAATCAGTTAGGGAGCAGTGAAAGTGTGGCATGAATAAATAAGTACAGTAACTATTACTTCCCTGACAAGGCTGTTTTGGCTTCCACGATGCAATTCTTCCACTCCAAACGTGTTATTTAGCAGGGAAAGTGAGGCATGAATACAAAAAGGTAAAGTGACTATTTGTCAAATAACTTGGGTATTCTGGCTCAAAACCTGTGATGCCAAATATAAACTATCAAAAAACTCTACTTATTTTATAAATTTTAAACAAAAGATATAAAGAACAAGGTATTTGGGCTTTAAAAACATAGTAAGCATTACCAAGAGAATAAAAAATAAAACAAAAAAATAAGAAAAACCATGATGGGACACTACAATGAGAGAAAAATGCAAATCTTACCAAGAGTGAAAGTAGTTTTTTCAGAAGATTGTTTCCAACCTTTACAACTAGTTGAAGCCTCAGAATATGTAACCAAACTGTTTTGATTAACATGCTCGGAATATTTATCTTTCAAAGTTGAAGGAAGTTCATCTGGTACAGGATCAAGACACAGAACTTCCGATTCTCAGATGAATAATGTTGGATATGCTTCAACAATTAGACCTCTGCGAGTTTCAGGAATTTAAAATGTATCTTCAAAATGTTTATCATATACTAAATAGTTTTTACGAATTTGTTGTGCCGTTTTATTATTGAAAAACGGACTGCGAACAGCCAATACCCAAATTTGAAATAAATCATTATTAGAATCGGGTTCGGAAAAATGATACCTTTTCAGAGTGTTGACAAAACAATTCGGCACAAAACAATACGGCATATTTCAACTTTTAAACAAAAAATCAACATAAAAATTTAAAATAAGCAAGATCAAGTAAACAAATTGAAAATTAAAAACACAATTCAACAAGACCAAGTTGACAATACAATAAACAATATTTGGAAAATACTTACTATTTATTCATCCAGGATCCAGGACACTCCCAAATAAACACAATTAAACAATAAATATTGACTACTGGTAATGGATGCCAATGACCAATGACAAATGACACTCCTCCCCCAACTCTCACTCTTTGCACCATTGATTGTGGATTTCTGTAAATTATGTGTACAGCGCCATCTAGAATTCGTTCTTTGAAACGAAAACATAGTTTCAGTTCGGGCTATACCAGTTACCGATACCTGTCTGTGAGTGAGATTTATTCCAACCTCTATTAGAGTCACACCTTTGTCTATTCATATATTCTTTACTTACACGTCGTTTCCATCTCAAACAAAATAAAGAGATGTTTTAAACCAACATGTTAATTATGAAACACTCCTAAAATTATGTAGAAATTGTTATATGATCCATTACAAAGTTTATAGTGTTAAAATAAATAAGATAGCAGAATTATTTATTTTCAACATTTTAAATAAGTAGTGCACCAATAAAATTATACATTCTATAAGTTATACATATCGACAGTCAACTTTGCTTCCAGCTGACAGAAAGGAACACTTACGTGGTTGACGAACAAGAAATCGATCTCAGCTCACAACAGTGTGTATATAAGTTTTATTATGGCTTTAAATTAAAAACTTCTCCTCTAATTAAATCTTTGCAATTTCCTTTGGAGAGGTTGCTCTGATGATTGAGTTATCTTTGTCTGGAAGGTCCCAGTTTCGTAATTATTTTTCTTCATTTTGTTGAAAGGTATTTTGTTTGACCTTTGTGAACCTCTTGTTTATTATTTCTAGCCCAGCTGCCATCAGCATTCCTGATTGAATGCAAAACATTAGAATAAAAAATATAATTAATTTTTTAATAAGTTTAAAATTTTATTTATATATCTATAGTACCCATTGCTATAACATTTACACAAAACATGATACATAAATAATAAAAAGTTAAATAGAAATTTGAAGATGCATTTCTAAGGTCTTCTTCGTTTGTTTGGTTGGAACACAAGTTTGGGTAACGAGTGGATTGTCGCCAGTATCCAGAAGAGCATTTAGAACGCGGATTTCCTTGTATAAAGACAGGTTCATGATACATATTTCCAGAAGGCCCATAATGACATGCAAGATAGTGGTCATTATTATATGGATCCCTGGCTTTAGCACATCCTATATGAGAGGTCTCTGCCCACAATAATTGAGTGACATGTTCTATCGTTTTTCCTTTAACTACAAATTAGTTTGTATTAAAATATTTTATATCTAAAGAAACCACGGATCTTCAAATATTAAAAATGACTGATTTGGAAAATAAATAGGTGAGTTGGAGAGATTTATAGAGCAGTGGCAACATTAAAAAGTCCACAGGTTTACAAATATTATAGAAAAAAATTATGAAAAGAAAAAAGTCTGATTTGGATTGTTTCTCAACATTGCGCAGGCGTTTGATAGTGTCCGTCATAAAAAAATAATAATTAAATTGTGACAAATACGTTTAAAGCAGTTTGAAAAAATTTTAGTACCATAGGTAACATGTAGATTTTACAAAGTGTAAGAGGAGGAATACTCTGATTTAAAACAATCTACAGCTTCCTTGTTATACTCGTATATAACTAAAACAATAGAAGGAATACTAATCAAAAAAACTAAAAGAAGAAAACAGACAAGATTGCCTCCTTAAGTAAGTATATCTGATAAGGGTGTGATGGATAAGAACATAAGAGGAAGCATACATTAAAACTAAATTGCTAACTAATAAACTAAGATGTAAAGAAAACTAAACCAGCAAATATATATTTTACTCTATAGTTATTACCATTATGAAAGTGCTTCATAATGGATAGATCGTTCTGAATAATTTCTAACAATTCTTCTTTCCATAACAGGGCAGCAGTATATAAAAGTAACTCAGCATCATCACCGATGCATTTATAAAGATTTTGACCGAGATATCCGAATTGCTTGTTCCTTCTACATTCGTTATACACAAATGGACACCTAAAAAATCAAATTTAAAAGACTTTATTTTTGATATCATTAATATATTAGATCTTTGGGATTAAGCCCGAGAATAACGATCAAGGAGAAGCGACAGCTTGGTGTTTATAGTGTACCGTTTTGTAACGCGCATGTGCGAAAATAAGTTGTGTATCACTCAAAATTATGTTATCTGTCAAAGTCAGTCCAAGTTGTGTTTAGTACATGAGCAATGTTAAGTGATATTTTTTGGTGTTTGTTTTGTGTAGTAATAAAATGAAGATTTTTACACACTTAGGTATTCTAATGCAAATGTAAAATGTGCCAAAAAAGTTACTAGGAAACTAAGAATTTTATCACATGCATAAATATTAAGTATAATGATTTAATCATTTCTGACATTTTATTTTTCATATGTAGATATTGTATTTTGTGAAATATATGTTTTCTTTTTCTAAATAAATTTAATAAACAATGAACTGGAGATTTTTTTATTTTATTTTGAAATTATATTTAAAAAAATATAATAAATCCGCGTGTTTCAATTAGGATTGGTCAAAATGGGCGAAATCCCTTTATTATGGCTAAATTGTAAGGTACAATTATGTCAATATAAAGATGTTTTGCCCATTCATATTTACATTTATTGAATGAATCATACTAGAGTTGATTTTGGAAATATTGGTGCATACTTAAATAAGTACTATTTCAAAAAATTCGTCTATGCCCAGACAGCACACAGTCCAATGTACGTCCACTTTAGATCTATTTGAGGGTCAGGACGTCCATATCCGGGCATCCAGTGTACGTCCGTTTATGCTAATTAAATTGACAGCTGAATATTGATACCCAGAGAACGTCTGTTTTTGGACTTAATTTTAAATTTAGTAGTATGTTAACTTTCAGTGGAATATAATATAAATCCAGAAATTCTAAAAATATGTAAGTACTTTTTAAACCTAAAAGTTTTTGAAAATATAAGCACATTACAAATATTTAGTTAAATATCTCAAACTTAATGTCTTTTTAATTGTTCCCTAAATTTTTTTTGGCACCCTTAATTTTATATACCTTATTTTTACTTAAGGAAAAGGTAATTTAATTTAAATATGGGGCTTTTATTACATGTTTAACAATAAATAAACCAAATATTGAACAAATTTTATAGATAAATTATAAAATAATAAACGTCTTTTACTTTTATAATAATTAATTAATTATTACATAATGAATTATATTTTGGTGCCGAAATTTCACCATTTCTATTAACCCTAACTACTTCAATGTAATTAAATCACATTACAACATTTGCGCATGGACTATAACAATGATTTCAGATAATTTGCCAAACTATTTCGCTCAGTGTAGAAAACGAGCATGTTTTCTCAGCGTGCTAAGTTGTGTATCAATCAAAGTCATGCTGTGAAAAAGGTACATCCGATATCAAAGGCACCGACAGCTACTGTCGCTTCTCCTTGATCGTTATTCTCGGATTAAGCCTGCACATTATTTATTTGGTATTAAGATTTTTGTATTAAATGTCTTGGTGAAGAACAATGGGCAGGCAAGCAAGGTACCTTGGTATTAAAGAGAGATTTGCTGAGAAGATTGTAACAAATGCTTTTCCATTAGAGGTTGTAATAATGGTGCATTCTTAATAAGTGGAGGAAGGGACGTCCAGACACACTTGGTAGTGAACTTACGAGAACCAACCAAAGGCGTAAGAATATTCAGAGGTAAAACCTGTATACATAAAAGTAGAGGAATACAATATACCTAGGAGGCCTTAGTGCTCTAGGCTTTATCTAACATCTGCATAAAACCAACAAAGAGAAAGATAAATAACTAACCGTAAGATTATTCTCGTTCCTGCCAAACATTAAAACGTATAAAGCAAAATGTCATGAATCTAAAAAGTAATGTGTTTTGTATACAAACTTTTTTAGGGCACATTCAACTGATTTTTCCAGTTCAAGATCGTACTCGACCAACAACATATTAGCTGCAGTCCAACCGGATTTAAATCTGCAATCGCTACCTCCAGCAAATTCATTCCTTAAATAATTGTGGTAATTTTGGGCCCAATATCGGAATGTGTCGTCCACTTCTATGATTATAAATGTATTAGTATCTGGGCACGGTTCAGAAGCTTCACAGAAAAACGATTTAATGGGACCACACTGATTAGCTTTAATAAAATCTATATACATAGTACATACGGTGCAAATCAGAAGAAACTTACTCATTGTTAACGGCAGCTTGACTTGTTAATGTACTGTTGAAAGGATTAGTTGTCAAATATATGACGGTGTACTTGGTGCAAAAGTATCATTATGTCTATGGCTTGCTTTACTAATATGTAGGCATAGACACTATTTCATACAGTGCATCATAGACTTAGATGATATAGGGTTACTACGCTGCTCTTCTTTAATGAAACAACTTCCATTTAAAAACAAAAAATTTACTTAAATGTGTACACTTCGAAAAAAATCCGATAAGTTGTCATATGTCTGGAAGATAAGTACCAATCTGGTAAAAACCACATACTTTGATTTTCTTTTACTATACGGAGAATGTTCGCACTGCGCAGCTTTCTGAGTGCCTTTTAAAAGTAGATAGAAAACTCCGCCATTTTGATCCCTTATTACGTGTTGCCTACATCTTGGCGCAATATTTTTAATAGGTGCGTTTTAATCATCCGCTTCTGCTTCGGAATTGTCGGTTTTCTTGTTTTAATCTGACAGGTTAAAACGACTAAACCGACAATTCCGGAAGCAGAAGCGGATGATTAAAACGCACTTGATATTTTGCTTGCTGCTGTCAGTGTCAGTGAATATTATTTTTGGAGTCACAGTTTATTGCTAAAGAATCAGTTAGCTCATTCGGATCAGTTAAAAGTTCCAAAATAATATCCACTCCAGGGATACAAATTCAGGATACGCAGAAGACTGCTGTTTTATTATAGGCGGTTGTCATATATTGTATTATCCGAGTTGCGCATTGTATAAACTGGAACATTGAGATCAAAAGTGCCGACGCAGAGTGAGCGATGTGATTCTTTAGCTATAAACTGTGACGTAGGAATCAAAATGGCCGCGCCCTATCTTGGGCGTGTCGGACCTCTCTCTTGCCTCGTATAGTAATCAAAGTATGTGGTTTTTACCACATACTTTGATTTTCTTTACTATACGATGCAAGAGAGAGGTCCGACACGCCCAACATAGGGCTCGGCCATTTTGAACCCTGTGACACAGTTTACAGCTAAAGAATCAGATCGCTCACTCTGCGTCGGCACTTTGGATCTCAATGTTTTAGTTTATACACTGTGTAACTCGGATAATACAATATATGACAACCGCCCATAATAAAACAGCAGTCTTCTGCGTATCCTGAATTTGTATCCCTGGAGTGGATGTTATTTTGGAACTTTCAACTGGTCCGAGTGAGCTAACTGATTCTTTAGCAATAAACTGTGACTTCAAAAATAATATTCACTGACACTGACAGCAGCAAGCAAAATATCAGGTGCGTTTTAATCATCCGCTTCTGCTTCCGGAATTGTAGGTTTAGTCGTTTTAACCTGTCAGATTAAAACAAGAAAACCGACAATTCCGAAGCAGAAGCGGATGATTAAAACGCACCTATTAAAAATATTGCGCCAAGATGTAGGCAACACGTAATAAGGGTTCAAAATGGCGGAGTTTTTTATCTCCTTTTAAAAGGCACTCAGAAAGCTGCGCAGTGCGACCATTCTCCGTATAGTAAAAGAAAATCAAAGTATGTGGGTAAAAACACATACGAACGTTTGACAGTTTTTATCTCCATGGGCGTATCAAAAAAATTTTTTATCAGAATCCAAGAGATTACTTTGTGAATATTTGGTAAAGGACAACTTTATAGAAAAATGCAATCCAAACATAAATTTTATTTTACCAAAAATAAATTCTGGTATTTTATATTTAAACGTAATAAACGATATTTTTAAAAAATAGCACTCAAATGATTGCATAGTTAATATTGTTTATACACTATTGGACAAAATGAAGCAACTTTTATGAAAAAATTAAATATTTCAATATTTAAAATAAAATAAAATAAGCAACCGTGGAAATCAAAATTCATGTAATTTAAGTGATAATAGTAGACTGCTGTAATAGGTGAAATGGGATTTTTTGAAAATGTCAAATAAGTTATGTAATAATTTATTTCAACAGTACTCATTATTGGCGCCACAAAAGTATAACAATTTTCAAAATTGTTTTTTCATTTTATTTAACAACTCAAAAATCACAAAATGGTTGAATGAATAATACAACAGGTTTTTAATAATTAATAGATTATTAGATATTACTAACGAAATTACGAGTAATTAATATGTGTCATTCACCTGGATATCTTTGATTTCTACTATCAATTATACAGTGTTCATTATTGTATAAACAAATTGATCTTCGTAATGTTCCTTGAGTATTTCACTAGCGTTATTTATTGTTGACATAAGTTTCTTAAGTCATTATTTTTGTCGTCAACTAGTTGTATGTATTGTTAACCTGCAGATATCATTATTATAATTTAATACATCTCATCAATAGATAGGAGGATGGTATTTTACCCCCAGTACAATACATTGTACAACGATCCTATTTGCAGTATGATTTTTCTAGACTGGATTGTCTCAATTTGATAGGTTAATCCAAAAGTAGACAATATTTCATTGTGAATTGTCTTATATATGTAATAAATTATTGTCCTTAATTATTTACAATGTCAATTTCACAGATTTTGTTTACTTTTTGTTCAGAGTAATTATCTTAAGTCAATGTTATTTTCCGAATATTTTGTATACAATTTATTGGGTTATATCGGACAGTAAATGTCAGTCAACGACGGAACACGATAGTTGACAGTGTCATTGTTATGTGTCGTTCCATTTCGGGTTACGAATTCCGGGTAATGGATACTTTATAGTGGGCGATTTAAAGTCGCGATTCGCTGTACGAGGTACGTTCGTTTAATTGTAGATTTCTACTTTTTTTTATCTTGTACGCACTTAGGAGATTTTTCACGAAAGGTTTACTATCGATTTTTGTCAGGAGCAATTTCAAAATGTTATATCCGAGAATAATGATCAAGGAGAAGCGATAGCTTGGTGTTTCAGTGTACCGTTTTGTTACGCTCATGTGCGAAAATAAGTTGTGTATCACTTAAAATCATGTTATCTGTCAAAGTCAGTCCAAGTTGTGTTTAGTACATGAACAATGGTAAGTATTTTGTGTTTATTTTGTGTTGTAATAAGATACAGATTCTTTACACACTATTCTAATACAGATACAAAATGTCTCAAAAAAGTTATTAAGTATAATGATTTTATCATTTTTGATATTTTATTTTTCAAGTATTGGATTTTGTGAAATATGTTTTCTTTTAAATAAATTTAATTAACAATGAACTGCATATTTTGTCTCTTTTATTTTGACAATATAAATAAAAATTATAATAAATCTGCGTGTTTTCTTAATAAAGGTCTTTCAGTAGTTTCACTTAGGATTGATCAAAGATGTCTAAACTGTCAGTTACAATTATGCCCATAAAAAGATGTTTTGTCCATTCATATTTAATTAATGAATCATACCGGATTTAATTTTTGAAATATTGGTAAATAATATTAAGTACTATTTCAAAAAATTCGTCCATGCCCAAACAACACACATAGTCCAATGGATCTAAGTTTAATAGGTCATTATTTATTTAGCCTACCAAATAATACCCATCTGGATTATTACACTTTTTTTAATACAATTGGTCATCAAAAATTGAAAAATTGAATATATTGCATTTCATTTTATCAGTAGATGTTTGAAATCTTATTCCAATATAACCATATCTAGTAAAAAAGTTTTCAAGTGGTCGAGATCGTCTAGCGGTTGAAAGAATATAATGATAATGGACGTGTCGAGAGTTAGATTCCTGCTCAGGTCAAGCGATCTTTAATTAAAAATAATAAATAAATAGTGTATAGCAGATTGCGAATATAACAAATAAATTATTAAGGATATAAAATACTGTAGTTAGTTGCAGTGGTGTAAAAAAAGTGAAGATGTGGAAATATTATCCTGGACATCCTCTAAATGGTCAAAAGTTTGCCATTTGTATACTTCACTGGACGGCCATTGGACGTCGGAAGTCTAGAAAAGACAAAATTTTGGACGTTCAAACATCCTAAATTGTATATCGAATGGACATCCAACGACCTATTTATGTTGTCTAGGCCAGCTATTCAACTCTTAATACATAAACCTTAAATGTGTAATAATATTAAAAATCCTTTTAATATAATATAAATCCAAAAATTAAAGCTTTAAATAAAGCATGAATGAATAAATGAAAAAATGCTAATTTATATTTAAAGCCAAAATTCTTATTATTAACCCTAACTCACTTAAAGTAGATAAGGCAATTAATTTTTTTTAAATTAAATTTAAAATTAGCCCCTAATCCTGATATAAATATAGTTATAGAAGCAATCAATATTATTAAATTTATTAAAGAAGAACTAAAAGCAAAATTAAATCGAATTAATAAATATACCCCTGCTGTTACTAATGTACTTTTTAAACCTAAAAGCTTTGAAAATATTTGCACTTTGTAAATATTTAGTTAAAATTTCAAACCTAATGTCTTTCTAATTGTTACTTAAATTTTTTTTGATACCCTTAATTTTATTTACCTTATTTTTACGTAAGAAAAAGGTACTTTAATTTACCTACATATGTGACTTTTATTACTTTTAAACCACGAATAAATCAAATGAGGAACAAATCTTGCATATAAATAAATTTAAAAAATAATAAGCATCTTTTACTTTTATATCAAACAATTAATTAATACACAAGGGAATTATATTTTGGTGCCGAAATCTTACTATTGCTGTTATTTACCCCAACTACCTCAATGTAAATAAATCACATTATAACATTTGCGTGTGATTTCAGATAATTTTCCAAGCTATTTCGCTCAGTATAGAATATAAGCAGGTTTTCTCAGCGTATTAAATTGTGTATTGATAGTATTCATTCTGTGAAAAAGATCCAGCCGATATAAAAGGCACCGACAGTTTGTGTCGCTTCTCCTTGATCGGTATTCTCGGGTTATATTGTACATAAATGAAGACACAAGTGGATCAAGAGCATATGTAACATTTTATTTAAATGGTGTTTTTTTGTGAAAGAAGGGCTTATGTACCTGAAATTCATTTAAAATATCTTCCGTGATAATATATCATCAAATATAGAAGTTGCCAGTAGATAAAGGACCCATGTACTAGGGAATAACTGCCAAACAATAAACTTTAACAAAAAATATCTCGTAAAAATTATTTTGCTACATAGGCCCTTCATCCAATTGTGTCTTTAAATATAGTTGGTAGGGTCAGGGCCGCCGAGAGCCAGGTCGGACCTCGGGACAATTTTCCAGGTCAGGCCCCGCGACAATTTTATAAAAAAAATAAAGCCCCTTATGTGTTACATTTTCATTTTATTTGTGATT